ACCGGCTCCGCTGGCCGGAAATTGCCGACGTCATTCGATTGCGCTGATTGGTCAATATTCGGTCAGGTCCCGCCTACGACGTCACTCAATTTCCCGCATTTTCCGAGGGAAATAGTTTCAAAACTATCGCACCCCTCCAGACGAACTATTTCCTCGGCATGCAGTTAGAGGGGAAATAGCTTGTTTATGTGGTTACTTTTGTATAGTGTAAAATAAGTAGAGGTATAATAATTTGTATTGTAACGGTAGCTACGAAACATCTCTGTTGTCATGTCAATATAGCTGGATAGCTTTGGAGATCGTTACTGTATGCCATACAACATTTTATGATAAAGGAGTTATTATTGTAAAATGTGTGTTGACCAATGACTTGACAGAGATTTGTGTCCATACTGAAACCATCTGCGGAATGGGAACCTGCAGAGGAATGTGTCAAACCCGTCTACTGGAAGTTGGAACGAAACTACAAACGATCGTTCAAGAGACTGCTCATGATTAATTTGACAGGACATGGAGGATGTGACAAGGTCTTTACAGAATTTGGAGCTGACATTACCGAGATGGACGCCATCAATAAGACATGCACGTGTAATTTGATAAGGGTCACATACCTAACATTTTAGAAGTTAATACTTTCTAATATACACAATAACACATTCATTGTGATAGACTAACAATACAACTAATATAAAGAGAATGATATTAAACAAGAAGCCAGATTTCTTTTAAATTAATACCTGCTTACTCTTTTGTATCACGCTGAATAAGGTTGGTTATTTGTTTTCGTAAAATAGTGTCAATGTAGAGTTTTTTGTTCTTCAGAAGCTGTTAGAGTTTTGAAGAAATTCGACTTTTTTGACCCTGGATATAATTCATGTTATTTCGTATGCAACCTTTGTGGAAATCCACGACAGTAAGCTACTGGGCGAAAACTATGACTGGAATTTACGGTTCTTCAGAGGAGGTCATTTGAGCATTTTGACAAATTCGATTGTGAGCTTGAATAAAGATGTCAGTCATTACTGTTCGGAAGTATAACATGATGAAGGCAATTTAAGTTTGCTCAGAGTAAATTTGTTTGAGTGTTTAAACAATGTTTACTGTTGTGACATTGCATATAGTTCATGTTTTCAGCATTTCACAACAGAAAGGTAAGAGGTAACAAGAGGCCCAGAGGATATTGTTGTTTGAAGTTTCTAACAAATTTCACCCCTGTGACCTTGAAAGTAGGTCAAATTCATTTTAATGGGGAAACTTTATAGCACTACATCCCAGGTACCTACTGGCCAAATATCATGACCCTGGGCCTTATGGAACTTGAGAAGAAGATTGTTAAAGGTTTTAACCCATGTTGACCTTTGAACCCCGACTAGCACTTAAAGTTGACCTTTGACCTCATTACTGTAACAAAGAAAAAGATTCGCACTGCTGGTCTACATAACATACCTAAGGGTCTACATAACATACCGAAGTATTACCCCTGTGACCTTGAAACTAGGTCAAAGTCATTTTAATGCGGAAACTTTATAGCAATCCATCCCATCTACCTACTGGTCAAATGTCATGACCCTAGGTCCTCTAGTTCTTCAGAAGAAGTTGTTCAAAAGAAAAAGTTGACAGATGGACGTTGATAAACTTTGTTGGGCTCCATCATAGGATATTACTGGCCAAATATCATGACTCTAGGCCTTTCAGATCTTCAGAAGAAGTTGGAATGTTTTGACCTATTTGACCCCTGTGACCTTGAAAGTAGGCCAACATCATTTTCATTCGCAAACTTTGTTGGGCTTCATTCCAGGATGTTACTGGCCAAATATCATGACTGTAGTACTTTCAGATATTCAGAAGATATTCAGAAGAAGTCGTTCAAACAAAATTGACGGATGGACGGCAGACGCATGCCGCGCCATGGCATAAGCTTGCATGCCCTTTGGACAGGTCAGCTAAAAATCATGATTCTAACGTATTTCAGTTTTAACCAGTATGAGCTGTCTGACCTTAAACAAAGGTAAAAGTGCTTAAGTAAACTTTGTTAAACTGCATGCCAGCATGATACTGGAATAACATTACATCCCTTGGACTTTCGGTTGGTCAGAAGAGGTCAATTAATTTTTTGACATATTCGACCCTGTTAAATTGCAACTTGGACAAGTTCATTTTATTTTGCAAACAATATCAGCTCCATCCAAGAAAACTACCACCCAAAAATTGTGACTCTATTCCTTCTGATCTTCAGGAGACATCTTAAGAAGTTTCTGACATAATTGACCCATTTGTCACTTTAAGTAGTTAAGGTCATTTTTTTGCTAAACTGTTTCGGGGGATCTACCCTGGAAGCCAATAGTGAAATATCATGACTATAGGCCTCTCAGTTCTTCAGAAGATGTAATTTGTTTACTTATTCCACTCCTGTGACTGACCTAGTAGTAGTTCAATGTCATTTATACAAAAATTGTCAGGCTTCATCCCATGAAGAATATCATAATACTTGCCTTTTGGTTCATCAAAAGAAGTCGCTTGAAGTGTTTGACGTTGAAATCATCCAGGAAGCTACCTCCCAGATATCATTATTCTGAGCATCTAGGTTTTTCAGAATTTGTTTAAAGGAAAAGTTGAGGCAGGAGGAAAGATAGATGACAGACACTGCATAAGCTCGCCTAATAAATATGCATTTCCCCTCCATGCACCACCTCCGTTAGCACAAATTGAATCTAGTTGGCTCAAGTATGCTTTATACAAAATCAAGTAAAAGAGAGTCCAGCCAAGCTTCAGAGATACATGTAGTTCTGTAAACTGTTACCACGGCGTCATCAATTTGGCTCGACCGCTGTTAAGCATCCTTCACTTATACAAAAAATAAATTCCCTTGACCAAAGGAACTTTAATTCACAGGAAATATAATCAAAGTATGAAAGCCACCATGGAACGCTTTTAGACAAGGGATATTAAATAAAGGTTCCAATGTAGATATATCTCAAATAAATACTTAAATTATCATTTATATGTCTCTGTTTTCCTTTTCATTATCAACACTTAAGCATTTTAGCAGGGTTGCATTTCTTTTGTGTGTCAGTGTATCTATTCATGATTTTTTTTCTACATTTTGGGGAAAAAAACCCATCTTCTAGCCAGAAGGAAGTATTCGGCTGTACAAAATCAAGGGATCACTAAGTTCTTAGTCACCATAATCATTAGTGACAATATANACATTTACAATACATATAAAGTACTGAGAAGTGTATAAACCTCTTTTTTCTATGTATGTCACTTGTGTGAAAACCATGGTTACCACATCAAAAATTCCCAAAAAATGCCAAAAATTGCTATTTTTGACCCAAAATTTGACCCCCCCCCAACTAGTATTTTTTTCCCTAAGCTCTGTCTGAAATTAAAGATTACCTACCTGGCTGCAGAATTATCTGGGTCCCAGTAAAGTTGTAAAACTTGATTTTTTGCAATTTTGCGTCGTGTGTTGTTGTCAAAATTTTACCTCCTGTAAAGCTAGTTTTTCATGTGTAGGCACCCTTTCGGATTATGGCCAAAATTTTATTCTCGATCCAAAAAAATACATTTTTTTTTACAAATGTGATGCTCACATAGCCCACTTCATCATGCTTATACCAATTTTAGTACATTTTTTTTTTTTTTTATATATCATTATACAGGGGTTAGCCATTTAACAAAAATATATCACCCATGGCCACAACCCTCTACTGTATACTGCTACCTATGAAATCTTACACACAAGCAAATCATAATCTTGTTCATAACTTAACAGACATGCTGCCTTACTTCAAAATGCACTTCCTTTCCAAAAGAATTGCACAGTAAATCCCTTGCGCGCTATTCCTGTAGGATATCTAGCCCAAGTTTTTCAAACAGGGATACTGTTTTAAGTCCTATTAACAGCTATGTTCATTTAAGGACATGCCAGGTTTAGGTGGTGAAGGAAAGCCGGAGTTCTCGCAATGCCCACCGAGTGACACAAAATACAAACAAGAGGCGCAGAGGGCTTGTATCGCTCACCTGGATAATAAAGCAAACATGAGAAATTATTCTTATTACATAAAATACCTCCAATGGTTCAAAAGAAGAAGGATTTTGAAGATTTAAACCTCAAATTCCCCTATTGGGCCCCACAACTCTGCATCCAGAGAGGCCACACCCTTGGTTTACACAAAATTTATTCCCCTTTGCCCAAGGATGTTCCAGGCCAAAGTTGGATGAAATCTCTCAAAAGGTACAGAGGAAGAAGGCTTAAAACCTCAAATTTCCCTATTTGGCCCTGCAACTCTGCACCCAGAGGGGCCACAATCTCCATTTATACAAAATATAGTCCCCTTTGCCAAAGGATACTCCAGGTCAAATGGGGATAGAATCCCTCCAATAGTACAGAAGAAGGATTTTAACGATTTTAACCTCAAACTCCCCTTTTGAGCCCCGTCACTGCATCCAGAAGGATCACAGTGCAGATGGGCCACACGTTATGTTTATACCAAATAAAATCACCTTTGCCAAAGGATACTCCAGGTCAAATTTGGATAAAATCCCTCCAATGGTACAGAAGGAGAAGGATTTAAAAGCTTTAAACCTCAAATTCCCCACCCCTCTACACCCAAATGGGCCACATCCATCGTTTATACAAAATTGAGTCATCTTGGCTCAAGGCTCCCAGGGGCTCCAAACTCATCGTTTTTACAAAATTGAGTCCCCTTGGCCCAAGGATGCTACAGACCAAATTGGGATGAAATCACTTAAACCCTATGGTAGAAGGATGTTAAAGGTTTGCCTCTATTTCCTCTTTTTGGACCCACCCCTCTGCCCCAAGGGAGGCCACACCCACAATTTATACAAAAACTACTGGGCCTTTCAGGACTAGTATTGTATTAAAGGAAAAGTTGAAGGACGGACAACGGACTCCGCGCCATGGGCATATCATACAAGCTCACCAGTCATTTGGACCAGGTGAGCTAAAAATAAATAAAAATAAATTTTACTCACCAAATATACATATATTTTAATATCTATTTTAGTTTTTAGTGTTTCTTAGAAACTGGCATGTTATTCAATACTAGTTATCCATAATTCAGTTGCCGTATAAAATCTAGATATTTTTTTCTTTTAATTGAAGGTCTGGATATATCCAGATTAAAACAGACAGATGACATTATCACCACATAGAATTCAGGAAGCCTCTATCCATTCTAATGTGATTTTTTTATGTTTCTTATGTTTATGCTTTTTATGTTTATGTTTTTTGTCCTTATGATGATGACTTCGTGATGATTTCTCAGAATCTGAACTGTTGCTGTTCTCCTTTAGGTCACTTTTCACTTCCTCTGTTTCTAACACTTTTCCATTTTTGCTGTTTTCAAGTCTCTCATTATTTTCTCCTGATTCTGTCACTAACTGTTTTTCACTTTCACCAATGTTGTCTGTAATAACACAGTTCTCCTTTACCTTTGATTGTTTTTCTTCCTGTTGAAACTCCGATTTTGACGAAGATCTTGATCGACCTCTGGAGTAAGACCGTGAGCGTGAATGTTTCTTACTAGATTTTGATTTTGGTGACCTTGATCGACCTCTAGACAATGACCTTGAATCAGAACGCTTCTTTCTGGATTTCTGTCTGTCTCTAGTTTTACTTTTTGACCTTGATCTTGACCTTGAACGATAATTCCTTGACCTTTTTCTGTTTGATCCATGATGTCTATCTTTAGATGATGATCTTGATCTGTTTGACCTTGTATGACGGGTTGACCTATTTCTTTTTGTTGGTGACCTTGACCTGCTTCTTCTTTCCTGTGACCTTGACCTTCTTCTTTCCCGTGACCTTGACCTCTTTCTTTGCCTCCTACTTGATGACCCTTCTGACCTCTGAGACCATTCTCTGTTTCTACTTTGTGTGTTGCTTTGTCTATATCTGTCAAAATTGCGATCTGACTCCCAAAATTCATTGCCAGGATTCTTGAACACGTGGAAGAAATTACAGTTTCTTCCTTTGGGACATCGACCACTTCCAAACAAACCTGTGACAATATAATAAGTCAATGTATAAAACATGTCGTGATTCTTGATTAACAGATCTGATAAAACAAACAAAAGTAATTTTTTTAATGAATACAGTCTATCTCTCAAAGTTAATACCAGTCTCTGGGTTTACTGTACAAGTCAGTTTAAAATGTGCCTTTTTGTACCGATATAATTTGACCAGTCAAATACTTCTAGTAGATTATTCAAACTAAACTTTGGAGCCACATACATAATATCCATGTTTACAAAACCAGATTTTGCAACTCAATTTAAGTGTGTACGCATGTAAATTATTGAAAACAAAGACAAGAGACTCACTAGGAGCAGCATACCACTAACATCCCTCCCCCCCCTAACAAAACATATAATTGACAATATCAATTATTTTCATTGCACAGTTGGAAGTTGTTACCTCACAGGTAGGTTCTATAGGCAATGCTATGTTGAGAAATATTGACCTTGACCTTCTGGTAAAAAACAACACTTTTCTTCAATTACCACAGACAGCTGATTTCCAGGTTGGTATCGTGACATATTCACAGGACAGTTGTTTTCCACCATAAAATCTACCGTTGAACTGTGCAAAGGCTGAGGCTGCATCATCCTCCCTGTAAAACAAACCCAGAGGTGTATCGAGGGACATCCAACATTCTAATGCATTTGCAATTTAAACAATTTTGTACATAAAAAATATCAAACCAGTTATATCAGTTGGGGCATTGTTTGAAATCTTGAACTGTCAAAATTCAAGATGGTCACCTGGGAGCCATCTTTTTTTATCTGATCATTCTGTAAATAAAACATGCACAACTTTGAACCAAGGGAAACCTATATATGAAATTTGGGAAGGTCTGTCAAGTATTTCTTGAGAAATAGCAATGACAAACTTAAACTGCCTAATCCAAGATGGCTGCTATGTGGCCATCTTGTTTTCCAAACATCCTAAAATGAATCAAACACAACTACAGAACAATTGAAACCTACAAATAAAATCTTATAAAGATCTGTCAAGTACTTCTTGAGAATAGCATTAACAAACTTAACCTGTCAACATCAAAGATGGCGACTGGCCATTTTTTGTCTTCCCATCAGTATCAAAATGCAACAAGTAAAAATAAGATCTAACGGAAACCTACCTATGAAATTTGAAAAAAAACCTGACAAGTACTTTGTGAGAAATAGAAATATTCAAATCTAAGATGACTGCCTGGTGGCTTTTGATTGTGTTATTGAACTAAAAATATGATCAGAATCCCCTCTGCTTACCTTCTGTATTGGATATAGACGTTTCCACGGAGATGGGGCTCGTAGTTACAACAAACTTTCACCTGGACCAATCGACCTATTGCTTTGAATTCTGGAACAATGTCTTCATAAAAGTCACGAAAGTTTTGGTAGAGTTCAGAATCGTCATATTCAAGAATCAGATCTGAAAATCAATCAGAAAACACTCATCAACAAAGTACCTTTATATGATCAACAAATAAAGTTCATGACCTGTAATATTTCCATCACCTTCTTAAAACAGATTTAATTTTCATGTAGCCAAACTGGACTGGGTTAATTGCCTGCGACCAGGTACATGTAGCTAAATTGGTAACACATCCATCTAGACTTCTGAGGGTCCCTGGTTTGAATCCCAGTCTGGCCTTGTGTTTCTCTTTCTCCTGTTACAGTGGTGATTCAGACATAACCTTATATCAGGCATTGGATGTACACTTGACAAGGAGATACCCAAATCTGGGTTGTAAATAATCATGTTGAGGGGAGCAAAAACTAAGAAAAGGAGGGAGTAATGTAGCGGAATTGACTGGGTTGATAGCCAGAGGGCAGGTAGCTCAATTTGTAGAGCTTCCGTCGAGAGTTCAGAAAGTCCCGGGTTCAAATCCCAGTCTGGCTCTTTCTCCTGTTACACTGGAATTAAGGCTTTGCCTAAATCAGTAATATTAAGTGGTATATTGCAGAAAAATAACAGGGAATATGAGCTGCTCTTTCCAAAAATTGTTCAGTTTCCCCAAATGCTTCTGTTTTAAACAAGAGGCTCAATGGGCCTGCATTACTCACCTGGTATACACTTTTAACCTTAAAAACGATCTAAAATAAAGCTACAGGCAAAATAGAAGTATTTATGATTAAAAGTCATTCAAAAGGACCTGTTTAAAGATTTAAAGACATTTCACCCCTGTGACCATGAAAGTCGAACAAAGTCATTATGTTGAACAAATTTCATAGCCCTTCATGTCAGGACACAACTTGCAAAATATCATCACCCTATCCTTTTGTTTATTGAAATTAGGTCATTTAAATGTTCATACATATTTGACTAAATGTGACCTTGAAAGTGGGGCAAGGTCATTCAAATGAAAAAGCTTGATAGCCTTTCATCCAAGCATGCTACTGGTTAAATATCAACATTCTGGGCCTCATTGTTATTCAGAATAAGTTGTTTAAAGATATCTTTAAACAAATTTGACCTTGACCTTGAATATAAGTCAAGGTCATTCACTTTAACAAATTTGGTAGCCCTTTATCCTAGCATGCTACTGACCAGATATCAACGTTCTAGGCCTTATGGTTATTCATCAGAAGTCGTTGAAAGATTTTGACATATTTGACCCCTGTGACCTTGAAAATGGGCAAAGTTCACTCATTTAAACAACTTGGTAGCCCTTCATCCCAGCATGCTACTGGCCAAATATCATCACCCTGGGCCTTTTTGTTATTCAGGAGAAGAAGTTTAAAGTAAAAACGTTGACGCAGGACGGACAACGGACGCCGCACCACGGCAAAAGCTCACCTGGCCCTTCGGGCCATGTGAGCTAATAAAAAATTATTTCATAAAAATAACTTATTAATATAACTTCAATTTATTGAAGTCTTATTCATGTAGAAATTTCAAATGGTAGAAAAAGTGATAGTTTCTAAATTGCGACACTAAAACCATCTTTGAAAAGAAAGAAGAAAATTCACTGCAACATTTGCATTAAATAATGTAGCAGCATATTGGGGACAAAACTAAAGGAACGTTGACAGTTAGAAGGAAGAAATTAGTGATTATTTTGAGACTGCACTTCTACGATCTAATCGCAAGGACATGAATCTGTGAGGTCATCTGAAGGGTTTATTTATAAGAATCTTATTAAATTTATTCATATAACATCAATAATTAGTTTACAAGGTTTGATATGTGGAGCTAGTGTCTACCTGTGTCATACTCCTCGCCTGTCAGACCCTGCTCCAACTCAAAGTGGCTATACATGCCACGGAACAACAGAATGGTGCTGCTCTCTGTCTCGGGGTGGGTACGAGAACACCTGACAAATAAAATACCATTTTTCTCAATGCACAATACTGCAGTATAATCTACAAATATCAACCTGCATCAGTGTCGTTACAATGTTTTATCAATCCAAGGAAGATGATATTTATCTCGTGCAGTGGGAGTTTTGATCTTCCCTGGTTTATGTTTCATTTTCTTGACCGAAAATAAAGGTGTAATGAAATAATTATATGCGGTTCACACCTGAACATGACAATTGATAATATGAAACTTAACTGAAATTAATCAGTGATATGGTTTTCATATTGTCTAAATATTTATTAAAACTAAAGAATGTCTTTAAAGTTAGATTTTTGTGATGTGTTTTCAAACTCTTCTATATTTAAATTTTTATACCAGAATTCTTTATGTCAGATTTTCTTGAGTCTTAATTCTTTATCTCATACCTGTCACCAAATCTGCAAGCTGCTGTCTTAGCGAAAAAGGGACAGCGGTCTCTCTCCTTGCCCTGGACCACTCGTACAATGGGGTTATGCCAGGGTTGGTCATTTCCCTCCTGAATTAATAAACAGGAAAATATAAACATAAAATGTACAAGAAACAAACTTATAGTCTTAATAAAATCAAACATTATCGTTATTACACAAATTTCAGATATTTTCTTTCACCCTGGAAGAAAGCCTTGGGTTACATCATCAAGAATATTTCCCCTCTGTTTAGATTAAATTAATATCTGTCAATTTTATGGCAGTTTGTTTGTATTTTAAGTTGGATATATTGAATTTCAGCTTACCATCAACTTATTTTATTTCCTCAAAGACTAATTAATTTTCGATATCATTCATATTCATTAAGGAGATGTTTTTTTCACTGAATGATGCACCTATTTGGGAACTCAAACACTTTTGAATATTAATAAATAACTATCAACATTATTGAAATAGCCCGGTCTTCATCATGAATGTAACTAACAGCTAATACATTCTATAGGCATATATTGGGAAATAAAGTAAATATGAAAATAAAGGGATTTACCAGATGGCCTGTATCATTTAACTGAATATTTAAGCATTCCTTGCCAGTATTCTTGTTCAAAGAAAAACATTTGTATTGCAAACAAATCTACAGGGAATGGGCCAGGACCAAAGGCTTATCTTGGAGACATGATAGTGTTTGGCCGCATTAGTTTATCGCGATCCAAACAGTTGAACAGGTTGGGCAAGAGTTGCTGCTTTCAAGCGAGCTTAGACTTAATCATTTGCAGGTCCGTCAGGATTTATACCCGAAAATGTTACATTTAAAAACAGACAAACTGGTTGAGACAGTTACACAAAAGGGGCCTTTGTCTCTTCATGTCCAGCAAGCACATGCATATCGCTCTTGTTGGCCCAGATGTTAGCGTGTGAGGGGGTCTTAGTGTGGGAGGAAACCGGAATACCCAGAGAAAACGCACATGTTCTGGCAGGTGACCCCAAACCTTTTCACTTCCGATCGGGAATTGAACCCCAGCCGCCTTGGTGAAAGGCAAGTGTGCTATCCACTGCACCCCCTGACCCGAGGGGTAGAGACGTGTGCTATCCGCTGCACCACCTGACCCGAGGGGTAGAGACAGAGGGGGGCTATCCACTGCACCACCTGACCCGAGGGGTAGAGAAGTGTGCTATCCACTGCACCACCTGACCAGAGGGGTAGAGACAGAGGTGTGCTATCCACTGCACCACCTGACCCGAGGGGTAGAGACAGAGGGGGGCTATCCACTGCACCACCTGACCCGAGGGGTAGAGAAGTGTGCTATCCACTGCACCACCTGACCAGAGGGGAAGAGACAGAGGTGTGCTATCCACTGCACCACCTGACCCGAGGGGTAGAGACCTGACCCGAGGGGTAGAGACAGAGCAGAACATTAATCATGACAGCATGATTGTAAGTTGCTTCCTTTTTTCATTCATGTCATATCCACAACTGATTACTAATTTCTGTTATCTGTCAAGATGCCAGTGGGCATTTTTATTGATTATAATTGATTTGATGATAGGATGTGATGTAGATACCTTGTTTTCGTTTGCCGTGGCCTGACGTAGCAGATCCTCCTACAAAACAGCAGCATGTTGATGACAAAGCAGGACCGGGGCTAAAAAGGTCTGACAACTGAAGTTAAGTTTATGTCAAAACAAATTGTACTATTATTCATTCATTTTTAATTTTTTCCCTTTTCCCCCAAACCTCAGTTTTGTTTTTACACATTACATCATTTGTGGCCATTTCTTGGATAAGCCCTGTTTAAGTCTAAAAGATGCAAAAAGAAAGCACAACTGCAAAACAAAATGCCTCTTAAGCCTTATTGAAAATTGGATCTCATTTTGCCCTCAAATTGTTAACTAGAGGAAACTGTGTATGCTAATAGTAGAAAACTCTTTAACACTTTGCAAGTTGGCTTTACCAAAATATTTATCAAGTGTGACATTTTTTTTAGTAACAAAGTTTCACGATGAAAAACTCATGAACAAGATATTTGATAACTGACATCATTAAAAATAGCTACCACATCTTAAAAATAAACTTTTCACTGATTGTAAAGATATAATATCTGAATTATTCCATCACATAAAAGATACATCCTATCAAAAACATCTTCCTGGCATTCCAACGCATCGCCATAATGTAGTCTTGGTCAAGGAAACATTTGATCATTTTTCCATTTAATGCAGAAAATGTATATCTTATAGTTATATAACCTCGGTATAACATCTGTTTATGTATCTGATAACAATTCCTATCTAAAATGTGTCTTTTTCATAGGCTAGCTAATTGTTTGAAGTCGTCTCCATTAGAATAGAATACCTAAAACCAAGCAATAACCTGCGTTTTCGACTTTAAGGTTTCAATATAAACATTTCTATATATGAAATTGATACAGATATAGAGGATCTGTCATTCGTTTCCCTTCATATTAGATTTATGATATAAATTTTCCTTGCGAGCCTTTGGCGAGCAAATATGAAAAATCCAAAAAAAGTATCATAAATCCAATATAAAAGGAAACGCATGACAAATTCTTTTTATCATATTATACAAAATAAACTGTATAATTGTGATCTGAAACGAATATTTTGCACTTGGCTGTCTCTGAACCGATGAAGATTGTGTCCGCTTCACAATGATGTGATGTCACATTGATTTTTCCTATTCGATTGTGATGTCATTTTCGGAGTGATATTACACACGTTACATAAACATAATCTATGCGAGTGCTTTTTGAGACTGCATAACACGGTATTCATATGATAAAAATATAAATGCTAATAGTAAATGGCGTAACAGATTTTTTACTTATGGACACTATTGTTTTAGGATATCCTTTGTACATGGCTTCTTTCACCTGGCGAGACTTCTTTTCTTTATCTATTTCATCCTTCTTCTCTTGTTCTTCCTTTTCTTCTTTCTGTTGTGCTTCCCACTCTTCTTTGATCCTTTTCTAAAGATTATAAAAACAAATATTCAATCAGCGATTGTTTGAATTTAACTCCAAGCATGCAATTATGCTAATTTGAAAGTGCAAGTAAACAAGGATACTCTAATTTGAAAGAGCAAGTAAACAAGGAGACTCCTTAATGTGTCTGTAAAAGATATAACAAAGACTATATTTTAATTGCCTTCCTGAGATAATGTACATACATAAGTAAAGCAAGTTTGATGAATGTATCTGCAAATGAAATAGCAAGGAAGTTAAAGTTCGGACAAACTATGGTATCAAATATGAACAAACGATCACGACTCCTTCTAAACAATAACTAACATGAAGTGGGCAGCACTCCATCTTCCCCAGATACACACGTATAGTTTGGTGAATGAAGGTACACGCATAATTACAAAACAAATTGTACTCGAGACAAAAATTGTTGACATCAAGCTAGCTAGAAAATGCCATACTGAACACAGCAATGGATGGGACTGATAATTAATGCTTTTACTCCCAATTCATAAATCTGTTCTTCTAAGAACATACATGACAGTTTTCCTTTTGAAATTTTTGATAAATAAATGACAAGTCTAAATATTGAGTGAATATACTGATTTTCATGCCTGCCGCCAGGCTATATAACATAAACATGATGTTATTTCATTGTAGAACATAACAATGCAGTAACTTTTCACCTCTTGTTCCTCCCTATTCTGTTTCTCTACCCTCTCTCTCTCCTTTGTCCTCTGCCACTGGTCCAGTGCTTGTTTCTCTCGCTCCAGCCATTGGGCATGAAGATATGCCCTCTCAGCCTCATCTCTTTGCTGCTTCAGCTTCTCAAATTCTTCATCGGTAGCTTCAACTTCTGACAACAACCAGAGGACATCATATATCTAACAAAACTTACAGAGCTTTGGACATTTAAATTTGATATTGTTAACTTCTTGATTTATTGGCAGGTCTTATCAATTGTACATGCTGCAATTTAATACTATCCATCCTTTGCTATAATAGTTGACTATTATATGTATAAAATTATGTAGGGCAATGACCATTCTGATACTGTACATGAAAGTACCAATGTATATACAGCATATCTAACTTATCTATTGTAGTGATATAGTTTCTCATCTTCTATCTGTTGGTTTCTGTATATGATGGAATGTTTGAAATAAATGATGTCAACTCCTTCATTGAATCAAAGTTGTAAAATCTACCGGATGTGAGGCTTTACTTAAACAAGAGGCACATGGGGCTTAACGGTCACCTGAGTTCTGATATATTTATACAGAGAATTGATTCTTGATTATTGTTTTTAAAACGTGAACAGAAATATTATTCAAAGTGACAAAAAAACACAATAAAACCACCTTATTTATATATAGCATACAGATTTAAGGCTGAAAAGTATTTGAAACTAGCACCTCTGATTCTAAACAAGGGAAATGAAGAAATTTTAGCACACTGACTCCTTTGGGCACCGCCCTAAGCCTACAGCCCTTGGGGTGGGGGACTGGCTCAAAATTTTCAAAGTATCAAACTGTCAACTCAGGGTTAACATATTCCAATCAAATTATGATCAACATGTAATATCCAAAGTATCATTTGCCATATACACCATAATAAATACCCAGGGGGAAACTTGAGACCCCAGGGTCATGAAATTCACAATTTTGGTAAAGCACCTTAAGACCCTTCCATCTATGAAGAGTATTTGATTCTACCATATCTGGGTCTTGAGAAGATTTTTGAAATTTCAGTCAATTCAACCCTTTTTGGCCCCACCCATCAGCCCCTGGGGGTCAGTCAGGGCTGATTTGTGCATACCATCAAACTGCTATCCAATACTGATAATGCTAACCAAGTTTGAATTAATTCCAATGAAAATTAAACAAATGCTGTCCAAAATGTGATTTCCCTATATAAACTATAGTAAAGTTTACCCCCTCCCCAGGGGGAAACGTGAGACCACAGGGTTATGAAATTCACAATTTCGGTAAAGGACCTTAAGAGATGAAATCTGTGTAAAGTATTTGATTCTACCATATCACGATCTTGAGAAGAAGATTTTTGAAATTTTAATCAATTTTTTTAGACTTCGTCTCAGGTGACTTAAAAAGTTAAAATGGATGGCTGGGTGGCAGAGTGGACAGCACACTCGCCTTTCACCAAAGCGACCCGGGCGAAAAAAGGCCCCAAATTTGTGATGGTTGATTATCATGTTTATATACATTGAGTTAGTTTTTGTTCAAATTGTAAAAGACACCTGGCAACACTCTTGGTAAATCCTGTGTCTTTATACAATTCCAAAATAACTCTAGTTAGATAATTATAAATTTTATGACACCTAGATAAATTTGAGAGACCAACGCAGAGGTGGACTCGAGACTTTTTCCACGTGCAAGTGATAAGAAAATTGTTTGAACCACAAACCCTGAAAATATTGAGTGATTAATTGTTTATCATCTATATACCACTACCTTATATATTTCTCAATTTGTAAATAATCAACTTAATAACATATCTCCCAACTGACTTCCAGGCTTAATGATCATAGAGATCCTCGGTCTGTGACAAACAGAGGAATACCATGCAACTATGTAGAAAGATATTTTTTAAACAACATTAATCTATTGTCATTGGCTTTCCCATATGCACAGGTATATATTCACTTAAAATGCTGTTGTTACCCTAACAATATGTTTTCCTAATTATTTAATGATTTGTTTATGACAAGACTATTTTCTTATGTGGAACATCTTTGTGTGGATACTATTTCCGGTTCAAGATGTCACCTAGCCCGATCAGGTGTTCCTTATTGAAAAATCCCATTCCTAAATGGGAAAAGCCAATTGCATGTTCTTTTCAACTTCTTCTAGAGTATTCTCATACTGACAGCCCATGATAACAGATTTACCATGCTACTGGTAGGTAGAATAATGTAGTATATAGATGATAAACATCACAACCAACCATTAATCGTTTGGGAATCTCTATATCTGTGATGAAAAATTATAAGATAGAGCGCTTACTGCTTAATTTATATATTATAGTAAAGATAAGCTGCTATAACATAGCTTCTGACAAGACATTTTTATATTGCGTCGTCAGATCTAGAGCTACAAAGAGGTCCTGTGCAAACTAATGGAGCAAACGCAAAAGTGCTAATCTGTAAGATTACATATAATTCACACCTCGTATGACAGATCACACGTGACGTTATCTCAATTATGAGATTCTATATATGGCCTGCATGGCGAAATGTAGTATAGTATTGGTTATATCATAGGAACCGAGCAATATGTCAGTTATTATACGAGACGGGCAGGGCTACTTCTCGAGCGCGTAGCACGAGAGATGTAAGCCCTGCCTCTCGAGTAAGATTACAATAACTGACATATTGCGAGGTTTATGATGTAACCGACTTGTCGCATAAAGCGCCACGTGACAATTGTTTTGGTAAAGTCTGACATTTTCTTTAAAACATCACAACATGTCGGACTGCATCCTAATTAACCAAAGTGTTTTTGACACGATGCATCTGATCTCTCATACACGCATTGAAAGTGACCTAGAAAGTATCACTGAAACATTTCAGACATCAATTGCCCTTGCTATGTTAACTTGATAATTTAACAACATTTCAGGCAGGGTTTACTTCCAAGTTACATGTATATAGGAGATCAACAGAAATAGTTCATATTACAAACCAGTATGTGGATACGGAAGAATGTGCTGTCAATTAAGTCTAAATTGCCAGGTGTGATTACCACTGGGCTTGCTCCATTAGCTAGGCATGGGATCGATTCAGTACCTGGGCAGGGCAGAGGTAGCCGGGTAGTAAAATTAGTACGACTGAAATCCATACCCAAACTCTCGATTCCTTTATCTGCTGCCAACTCCTTGGCGACTTCTCGTCTTTTATTGCGTCGCCTTTCTCTCTTTAGTCTTGCTCTCCATTGCTTATGACTGATGTAAGAAAAAGAAATACATTTGTAATTGCATAAATCATGGTCGTTTTTATTTAAACGGTTAAACCGGTTGGAGCACAGTTATTCATTTATTAAATAAGTAATATAATCTGATGCTGCTTTCAGGTGAGCATTGACAAAGCCTTGCAAGGTCTGCACACAGACTTTGATATCTAATCTAATTTCGTGGTCTGCATAGATGACTTCATCACCTTGGCTCATGTAATGTGACAATCATTAGCTAGAGCGACAGTACGTAGATGAGACAGAGGCATTTCACATTTTATATTTGATTTGCAGTCTTAGACAAGATGTTCAAGTTATCATGCGTGTGTAATACATATGGGTCTCTGAACAAGTGTACAGTTATGACTATATCATCCAAAAAACATCCTTTTTCTCAAAAATACGTGCTGAACGGGGGCAATCTGATTTAAAATGGTCCAAACATATAGAAAATACAGCCGCTGCAGCAAATAGATCTTTAGGCTTTTTGAAAAGAAATCTCAAAACAGAAAACAATGACATTAAAAGTAAAGCCTATCTGTCACTAGTCCGCCCTAAATTAGAATATGTCTGTACCTTGTGGGACCCATGCACACACATCAGACTCAATATACAAACTTGAAATGGTACAGAGACGCGCTGCCAGGTATACCTGCAATAGGTATCAGAATACCAGCAGCGTCTCTGACATGTTGAGCACACTTCCGTAGCCAACACTCGCAGAACGACGTCTTAAGGCCCGCCTCATTCGTATGTATAAGACAGCTAGTACATAACCTATAGCTAGTCGCCATCCCCAGTTCCTCCATTCTCACACCATCAGACAGTCGAACTCGTCAAAACCACTCTCTCTCCTTCAGACACATTCACTCAACCAAAGACACCTCTAAATATTCTTTCTTCTCTTGAACAATCACCCAGTGGAATCTTCTCCCATCCCGTGGTGATGTCTCCATCCGTTAATGTATTCCGAGTACAGCTAACTCCAGCTGTACTCGTTACATTCCGCTAAGCACCATTCCATATGTATAAAGTTTTAGCCTCACTGTTTTTAAATCCACGCATTGCACACACACACTGCAGTCCGTAATCTTCAAATGATTGAATGAGGACTGTATAACTAAAGAAGAACAGATGAAGGCGAATGAATGTAAGTAACGTAAGTACGTTGCTGGTCATATTCGTTTAAGGGCCCAAAAACGTTTACCCGATGCTATTATACATCTAGACATTACCTCAATTTAGCGCCAGAAGAAATTTCGCTACCACATTCATCAACAATTGTAATTTTCTGCAGCTCGAATCCTGCCCCTTCTCCCTCGTCGTCCATGCTTTATCTCTGTCGAACAGACGCTTGGTATTTTAATGCCGCGGTTAAGTGTAGAACCAGCCCGAGCTCGAACCGGACAATTTTGCCGTTGATGGTGATGACTAAATCCAGAGACGGAAACAAATGCGGATTTGTAAAGGAAATCGATGTATCGGAGATTTTCTTTACAGCCTGTTTACTTAGCCAGTGACGTCATCTTGGTGGTCTTAACATGTCTAATTCTAAATGTTTAGTGCGCAGTTTTTAGAGACTGAAAGGTCTTTATATAATAACCCCCCCATTTATTTGTTATTCAAACACCCTTTATACTATTGCTTCACGCATTGAAAAAAAATCATTTATATACACTTACGAATATCAGATTATTATTTACAATGCATGTTATTTTAAAATGTTGCATGTGATATATGTATATCAGAAAGGCTCCAGGGGTGTTAATAATTTGGAACATTTATTTACACCATTAAACTCTGTAAAGCAATGTTTGAAATTAGTTAAGTATCATTTTACTAGTCTGGGTAATGCAATGGCGGATCCAGAGGGTTTTTTTGGGCTTCAGGAAACCCCCCACCCTGAGAATTTTCTTTAAAAATCATGTTTTTTCAACATTTTCCCCAATTTTTCCCCCCATGGAACCCCCCCCCCCCAGGAAATTTGGAAACCCCCCCAGATAGGTCTCTGGATCCGCCACTGTAATGAAAAGTGGCTTAGAGATTCACATAATGACCGTAATTGTGAAAACGGCAATAAGTTGAGAACAATGCCTCGAGTACTATGGATTTCAGGTATTGACAGGCGCTAGCTAAATTTCGCAGTGGTAATTTAAAGCTAAGCATTGAAACTGGTCGGTATATTCTCGGTATATTCTCGTCCTAAAATTCTTTTAGAAGATAGACTTTGTACATTTTGTGATTGAAACTGTATTGAAGACGAATGCCATTTCTGATTTTATGTGATTTTTATTCAGATATCAGCGCTCATCTTTTTACGACAACAGAACAGATTATACCAGGTTTTAACTATTTTAACACTGTATAGAAACTTGTGATCTTAATGAATGAACATACATACAGTTCATAAAATGTAACGTAGAAGAATGAGTTTTTAATATTAAGTCTTAAACATTTTTTAGTATCTCTGAGCTAATTTTTATAATTGATAAATGACGTTGTATTAACGAATATCTTTAGTGTCTCCTGTAAGCCGCAGTAGACTGGGTGTCATCCAGATATTGTTTGTACATTTTAGATCATGCTTGTATGTATGTATTTTAAACAAAATTGACATGTGACACTTTAATAAAATAATTTGTATTTGTATTGATAAACCGGTCAAGTATGGACTTCAAGTATACATGCTTTGTGATTCAAACAATGGATACTGTTGCAGACTTGAACTCTATACTGGACGTGGAGGGCAGCAGGCATCACAAAGCACATTTGGACTTACCTATGACCTAGTGATGTGCCTTGTCAGTCCACATTTGAATAAAGGCTACCACTTTTACATGGACAATTGTTTCAGCAGTCCCCATTTATTTTATAACTTGTATCTAAATGCAACACTTGCAGGTGGAACTGTGCGAAGTAACAGACGGGGTATTCCAGAATCTGAAATCTGCAAAACCTGCTAAATGGGAGATATTGTTGTCAACAATGGCACTCTTGTTGGCGTGCAATATGCTGATAAGAAGTATGTCTGTCTCCTAACTACAATAGTAATTAACTTCAGGCTTATCAATATTGCATACGATTTCGTAACATTCGTAACGACGTCATGCAATAATATGTGTACCGAGAAAGATATATAAAATTGAGGAAAGTTGATACAATGTTATTTGAATTCTAGCATTGAAATTTTTAAATATCATACATACACATATAAACAAAATATGGATATAACTGCCTTGTTGAAGTTAAAAGGAAGTATGAGGTGCTCATTAAAATTCCTTTTAAAACTCTGAGATCAGAAATACTCCTTTGATATTTATCACAGATGTAGTAGCTGTAAACAATGTAACATTTAAATTTGATGAATTAAATTAATAGAAACATCATTCTTAATTGTATACCTCACGTTGACACACCTGACACATCTGCAAGTCCAGCTAAACGACTAAAGTGCCACACTGCGCCAACTATAGCCGATCAAACTTCAGGTATAACTTCGACATTGGAATGTCTGTAGGGACAAAACTTTCAGATGCTCAGAAGTACGACATTCTACAGAATGTTTTCCATCCAGACGAGGAATACTCCTTTCTAAAGACCATGATGGGTCGAGGAACAGAATTTTCCAGATTCAGTGGCTGAAACGTTACCCTGGACTAGTTTATTCACCAACTTGTGATGTGGCCTTTTGCCTTCACTGCACACTTTTTGCTGTGGAGACAACTAAGCGGGGACAACTTGTTTCTGAACCATTCAGAAATTAGAAGAAGGCTATTGAGAGGTTTGATGAACATTTTTTTCAAAATATGACACAATTCGGGCAACAAGAGTGGTTCAAGTCATCAGAAAACAGGAACTGGCTTTGAGCTGCACATGGATTGCTACACCGAGAGTGTCAACTTCACGAAGTGCATGGAAAACAAACTGATTCCGATTCCACGTCAAATAGATGCTGCACTAGAGGAAAGGAGGAAGAATATGCGGGTAATAGAGACCATTGCTAAAACTGTGCTATTTTGTGGAAGACATAACATTAGCCTACGAGGTCAGAGAGATGACAGTCGTCATAATGGAGATCCATCTATTAACACAGGAAACTTTAAGGCACTTTTACTTGTTGTCAGAGCCCTGAAGAATGTTTCCCTAGTGAAAGCATCTATCCAGGATTGCAGGGATAACATAGATGAAATCCACGCATTTGGTATCGAGAAGCTGAGAAACTAGCAGAGGACCTTGATGTTCCTGTCACCATACCCAGAACTTGTCGACGCCAAACACACAGAAACAATGTTCCTGCAGATTCAACAGAGGACAATTATAGGAAGTCTCTCAGCATCCCAATGATGGACCATCTCCTGGAGGAAATGAAGACACGCTTCACTGACTTGTATGAGCGAACAGCACTAGGGCTGAAACTTGTTCCTTCAGAATTGGAAAATAGTGTAGAGGTGAATTCACTGAAGGCCTTTTTCCAGGAGGACATGCCATCGCCATCAACATTTGATGCAGACTTCCAACAGTGGAAATTCTATTGGACGGATCAGACAGAGAAGCCCACCTCCCTTTCAACTGCTATCAAGGAATGTGATATCCACATGTTTGAAAACATTTCAACTTTATTAAAAATATGTGGAACATTTCCATTAACAAGTTGTGAATGCGAACGTAGCATCAGTGTGCTGATACATCTCAAAACGTATCTGCGGTCAACAATGGGACAGCAGAGAAAGACCTCTCTGGCTCTTATGTTCATTCATAGAGCAGTGAAAGTTCTAACTACAGACATTGTGAGAGAGTTTGCCAGGAAGAATCCAAGGAAGATGGAGCTTCCAAGCATTTTGATTGAGGAATGAAATGAGACATCATGACATTACATTGTGTTTAAATATCTTAAGCTTGGACAAACAATCTTTGTTGTGCTTCAATTCCCAAACACCATAACCAATTTGAAGTGACTCAAATGGAAGGTCAAAACATTATTTTAAATGTTACCTTAACTTAAGAGTTTTATCTAGTCTTTCATTAAGTAACTTTCCATCATATCATCAGCTAATAATGTATTAGAAGCTTTACTATTATGAATCATTTGACTGAGTCATGTATCTGCATGTCCTTTTATTTCGTTTGATTTTTATACAAAAGTGATGTGCAATTTCATATTATAACTTGAGAGATTATTTTTATCTGACGCATCAGTTTGCATCAGTTTTAAACCAGTTTTGTAATATACATTGTATAAAAGGAAGTCACCTGCTAATAGTAACTATATCATTGTATGTATAAGGTGACCCAGAACAATATTTGTTTATTCTTTCATAAATTTGTATTTTTAGGAAATAGTGATCTGTATCACATGTCATTTTATATTTATAACAGAAACTATCATATTTTCCCATCATTGTGTTGCATCAATTTTATAGTAGTCATGTTTAAATAACAGAAAGTCACCTGCTAATAGTAACTATATCATTGTATGTATAAAAATAAGGTGATCTAGACAAGTATGTGTTTATCCTTTGCTAAAGTTTGTATTTTTAGAGAATAGTGAACATGATTTCTTTTATATTTTAACAGAAATGATGTTCAATCTGAAGCAGTATTAGGTTGATCCAATATTCATCTAGTCTTGTTTATTATATAAAAAAATGTATATAGGATTTGTTATGTTATTTATTTGATAATTAAAGTTAAAGAGAAATGTGTATGACTGTTCGTTATTCATTAAGCTTTAATTAGGGTCCCTACATTCAAAACCTTTATTTAAGTTAACTACAGCATCTGAAAACCATTTTCATATCAGCCTTCAATACTTGTACCCTGCTTTAAAATAGGTAGCATGGTTGACACAGGGAGACGAGATCATGAAGGCAACCACATTCGTAAGCCAGACTGTGTCCTTTCATATAATCGTCACATGGGCGCTGTTGACCGCTGTGACCAGATGGTTGCCTATGGAGGTTTTGATTGGCGGACCTTAGCGTGGTGGAAGAAAATGTTTTACCATATGCTTTGTCTAGCAGTGTTTAATTCGTACCTCCTCTACAAATACAGGACCCCTCAATCAGTTAAGCAAAGAGTATTTAGGAGAGAGCTTGTGGCCCAAATGGTTGAAGCTGCTGAAGTTCCAAGAATGAATCAAAAAGGAAGAAAGGTGAAATCTGCGGAGAATCTCGAAGATTAACAGCAAGGTATTTCCTTAGCCATTTACCATCAACAAACAAAAGACCTCATGGCAGGAAACAGTGCATTGTGTGTGGGCCAGCTGAAGCCGACATATTTAAATCGTCCAATCCAGGCATAGCACCTCCAAAAAGGACAGGACACGAAACCTGCTTTCAGTGCCAGCAGTGTTGTGTACCGTTGTGTATCGAGCCCTGCTTTCAGTTGTATCACATAAAGTCGGAATACATTTTAGCCTACAAACGGCAAATGTTAGGAGTACAGGCCCACACCGAGGAGTAATATAAAATCCGATGAGTATATATTTTACCATGCCACTACTAACTTTCATTCTTAAGATGGACAATATTAGACTTGTACGGTAATACCCTGGTATATTGCTTATAATGATTAGACAGACTTCGTTTTCACTTAATTGGAACTGAAGGGTATTGAGTATGAAGATTATTTTCTGCAGGTATGTTTTATAAGTGGTATTAGTGTATGAATTTATGAAAATTTGAATTTTCAGTATCATGTAGGGGAGAGTTATCTAGATGATACTGAAAACTTCCCAAACAATTTTATACAACCTGTCTAATATGTAATTATATCTATGATATATACTATCTAATCACTTACAGATTATATCAACACCATTTAGATATCATTTTGTAAGTTATAGTGAGAATAGAGAAAATTTGATTTTGCCTGTTTTGATGCGAATTGTAAAACATCAGTAACACAACTGGTAAGTATAAATGGCCTAAATATACAAGTTTTAGGTATTTTTCGGTTATAAAATGACTTCAATGGCTTAGATCTAATTCTGAACAACATTTAAAAAACAAAAATGAATTAAACAAAAAATCAAACAATTCAGTACTAGGTGTATCCCCATATGGAACACTTCAGCACCACTAGGGTTAACGCTAATAAGGCAAAGAAGAATGTTGAGGATTGTATGGGCAAAATAAGTAGGGTAGGTGTTTTTTTTGTAAGAATGTGTAATTTTGAAATTGGATCATAGTTTGATAGACTAAAACCCTCAGTAGAGCACAGCAAAATTACTGCACAACTCGTAGAGAGCTAATTGTTGTTGTCACCTTATTAAGGCATTTTAGGCACTATATTGGGGGCACCCATTTCCTCATACGCACTGACCATGCTGCTTTGACCTGGTTGAAAAATTTCAGAATGTTTGTCTACCACACTGCTTATTGGGTCTGCGGGACAGCCCATCAGCATTTCCGTGCTGTCTACCTGGTCGATGTTGAATTTCATAATCGAACATATCAACTACGCTTATCCATCTAGCTAGTAAACCCTCTGACTCTTTGACATATTGGATACAGATTAAACCCGGTGGCCGTTCTACAACGGTACATGTAGACCAATTTAAACCTTATGAGGGGGGTCCATTCCTGTGGCTTGGAGGGAAGAAGGCAATACAGAAGATGAGCTCATGTCTGACATGTCTGTAGCTCCCCAAGCCAACCATGACGTTGACCTTGATATTGACCTTGACATTGGCCATGGCATTGACCGTGACAGTGACTTTGACCGGTTGGAAGTATCTCCCCCTCCTGTTGTACCTAAGTACAGTCGATTTGGAAGAAAAATCCGGCCCAAGGTCCAATTTAGCGCCACCCTGTAGTTTACAGATACCGTCTGTTGTTTGTCTTGTCGTTTGTTTTGTGGCGTTCCTGTGTTGTGTATCTGGAAATTAAACTGAAATGTTAAAAGCATATATTTTATTTCTTTGCTATGCTACAAATAGCCACTAGTATATTCAGTAAGTTTCAACTAATAATGTTGGATGAGAAGGCCTGGAGTCTGAAATAAATATTACGACATGTATTATTACATGTATATCCAGTCAAGTATAATTAATAAGGTTAAACAAGAAGGCCTAGGCCTGGAAGTTTATTGTTTGAACTTTACTACACTAGTAAGAAGGCTGTGAGCCTGATACCAAATTAACAATTATTAATTTTAGCCAAATGGATATTTGGGATCTACTTGTGAGCGAGGAGGAGATCGCTGTGATTCAGCAGGACACACGATCCGTTTGGGTAGTCCGAAAAATAAAGGTATACTCAGGCATGCTTCGCCATTGGGCTGAAATACATGCGAGGACAGTGCAGAGGGTGCGGTGTCCTCGCTGCAGTTTTTTCCATATAAGGAAGAACCAGGTTGTTCGCCATGTGCGGCATGAGCACAAAGTTGAGGCGGCAGAAGCCGTGAGGATGGTAGCCCCAGGGGAGAGGGTGCCTAACAACAGATACATTTCTACAGGGAATATAAGCATCCCCATCCGGTCGTCGGTAACCCCAGGGTCAGTGATAATTTCCAATGAGGACAGTGAGATCCTAGCGTACGTCGATGATGCGTGGCATTAGACAAAAAATGAACTGTAAAGTTATATATTGTTTTATTTTGTTAAAAGGCCTTATCTTCTGCTATACAGGTACTTGGACATATCATTGTTGTTGTTATGTTATATGGAGAGTTCATTCGTGATATATATATTTGTAGGGAATATACCATTTTTTTGTAATTCAATTGTGGCTATATAATTTTAACTTTTTCTATTTAAAAGTAATTGACATTTTGTCATTGAACAATTTCAAGGTCAAAGTGATATTGAGTATGTAAAGATATGTCTTTTTGTTAATTTAACTTTATATGAATTGGCATTAAATTCATAATGTTCAAATTACTTATTTGGGATATTTATTTTATTTTAGTGTAAAGCTCCTGGTTGGACTTCGAACTGAATTGATTGAGAGGAATTAAGGGAAACCTCCTCACCATAGCTGTGGGGCGAGTGTTCAATATGTCTAGAATGTTTTAATGTGTATATTACTATGTTCTTATCTATAAAATGTATCTGGAATTTTAAAAGTGTGTACGAGTAATTTGCAATAGTAAAAGTATAGGTTTGACAGTAATGGTATTTATGTAATTATTTAAAGAATGAATTTATAACCATTTGGAAAAGATAACTGAATACATACATTCAAGTTACAGATTAAGAAATGAGTATATTAATAAATATCATTGTATATGTACATTTGATAGGGTAAAATAGATATATGTTATATAATAGCATTTGTCGATAGAGTTATTTCCCTTTTACTATATTATGTGTGCAAGTATATGAGGTATGTTCAGTTGTAAATATGTATGTGAAATTGGGGTTCTTGCACTTGCACAAAGTACTCGACGACAAATATTGCGTTTCTTTTGCTTTATTCGTATGGAGAATCCGTATGGAAAATCCCTAAAATAATATAAATACACTAGTTGTACAATAGACACATATTAAACATATTTCCTATCGAACACACCTAACATTAACTTTTACAATACATAACGCGAACAATGGAATATTTAAAAGGACGTGAACACAATTCTATGACTTCTAGATAAAAATGGAGTTACTGTATCGTTACATACAAATGAATTATAGAACATTCTCAGTGTAGAAGAATGTAACTTATAATATTTTACTTTGACTTGCAACTAGTTTACACAAAGGAATTTACGTAAGTCTTGAAAATACATCTAAGTACTGGCCAATAACTTCTTTACCTCGGCGTAGTAAAATGTCATCAAGCTCTGGGCAAAATGTCATCCTATCAAATACATATGATGCACCAGGTTCCAACTCGCACACCAGTGAACGGGG